TCTAATATGGCTGATCCCCTAGTTCCCTTCTCTACTTTTTGGGAGACAAAGTTGTCTGCTAGGTTTGTCAGGAATATGTTCGATCTTCCACTTGGTGCAGAGTTTGTCTCCCAGTTGATGTCAGAGTAATTAAAGTCCTCCATTACTATTGTGATGTGATTCCTACATACCTTAGTTAACTGACTAGCAAAAAGTTCATCTTTTACCTCTGTTTGGTTGGATGGCCTATAGTATACACCTATGGCAATGTCATTCCTCCCCTTTTATATTGACCCAAATGCATTAAAGACAGTTTTCATCATTGTTGTGCTCTATTTCTGTAGAATGATTATTATTTGTCAAACTTACATATTCCTGGGCAGCTAGTCTCAAACTGGAAAAAAAATCTGGGTTATTTACAATATGCTCATTTGCTCCACTGTGCAACAATCAAATATATTTAGTGTCTTTGTTATTTGCCTTCCCCACAGAAATCTGTGTATCTTGCTTTTTTTGTTGTCGTGCTGTCTCTCTCCTGTTTGTATCTTATAATCATTTTACTGGGCAATTTCTCTCAATACATTGAGTGGATCCACATGCAAAGCAGCAGTTTCACTAAGCGGACTTTATCTCTCATCTTGTTATCTCTCTTGAATGTGGCTCCTTTCTGACTGAGTTGTAAATTACTACCATTTCTCTTATGTGCAACGTTTCTCTCAATTTTTTTCTGTTCTTGCTCCCAAAGCATCCCAGTTACATAATTTATAGTTAAATCATACTCGTCCATGGATTCACTGCTTGCTACTAGCATATCCCAAGTATCATCAAGGGAACTAAGCACAACATACACTTTGTGTGCTTCTGAAAACAGAATTATAACTGTGTGTTCTGGCTCATTGTACAACCCCACTTCTACTAAATTTAAATATCTCAACAATAAGTAACAAGAAATTAATTGAGGCTCCATGAAGCTTCCCATTTTATACTGGTTGAGGATGAATTCTGGCTTTTGAAATAAAGTCCACACCTCTTAATTTGCTATGGTTGAAAAACACTGATAAAAATAAACAGTATTATGGACTTAAGTTGGCCTTGGCATTTGCCTGCCTCAGGTAGTTGATTTTGGTGACATTTTTTCTTTTTATAATGGGAGTGAGAACAATAGTTGCAGAATTTTCTGCCTAGAGGGCCAATATAGCATGGGTAGCCTTTTTCTTTTTATAATGGGAGTGAGAACAATAGTTGCAGAATTTTCTGCCTAGAGGGCCAATATAGCATGGGTAGCCTTGAGGATTATGGATCTTGAGTATGTGTGGTGCTGATGGTAATACTTGTGGGAAGTGCAGCTTCAACCGATCTTATCAATCCCACAGGTTACCTTTCAGGAGGTCTGCAAGGAAGGTCTCTCCCATGATAACCACCATGATTTGTTCATGTTTGCATTTCTACTTTCTGCCAGAGACCTCAAAGCAGCATAGAAAACAACTCGTTTAACCCTCACAATAACCCTGTGAGGTTAGGAAGGACTTGTCAAAGTCTGCACAGTAATCCCCAAGGCAGATATCTCTAGGCAGATGAATGTCTTGGAACCAGATGACGCTTGTCCTGATGTCTTAAAATCCATTCTCAAGGTTCTGGTCCCCACTTATCTGACGTAAGCAATGTCTCCACCACCACTCATACGTAGGAAATTGCTGCTAGCAACCTTTCTGCAAACCTTCACAGGTGTATTGTTTTTCCTTGGGAGAAATTGCCAAGCAGCCAAGGCCAACTGACCTCAGTTCATAAACCCTGCTGGCTTATCTTAGCTCTGATGGCAGACTTTTAAAACTGTTATGGTACCCACAGAGGAACCAATACTATAGCTGGAAATGTAAAACTATGTCTATGAAAATGGGAGGAAATTGTATCCATAGCTTAGTTGTCATGTTGCTCAGAAATACTTAAGTAATTAATCATAATGGGGACCAGAACCTTGAGAATGAGCCCTGTCAGGAATTGGAGGCCATGTGGCTGCCAAAAAATTAGATACAGTTGGATTTGGTAATCAAGTCCTTTCTTCCCCAGGTCTCACAATTAACTGACCAGCTCTGGGCATTTGTCGAAGCAAGATTGACATTTTACTTCCTTAGCAAGTGTTTACCTGGATCTCAGCTGGGAAACTGTGAATTTGAGCCAATTCTCACACTGAAGAATGGTTGACAGTTAAAAAGAAAGAGAAAAAGCTTCTTCCGTTACTATTGTTTTTCTCTTTAAATCCAAGGTGACCCTCATATACTGAGGAATAGTGTGGTGACTCAGCGCTTAAGATGCTGTGCTTATTGGCTGGAAAGCCAGCAGCCAGGATGAGCTCCCATCTTCACCCTAGTTCCTACCAACCTAGAAGTTTGAAAGAATGCAAATACAATAGGTACCACTTCAGTGGGAAGGTAACAGTGCTCTGTGATGTCATGCTGGCCACATGACTGCAGAAATATCTTTGGACAGCGCTGGTCCAATGGCCTTGAAATGGAGATGAGCACTACCCTCTATAGTCAGCAATGACTAATAGAATAAAATCTGCAGGGACTCCTTTATCTTTACTTCATATACTAAAAAAAAATATGTGGAGGTAATGCCAAAAATATTGTATGAAGTTTGAGTCTGGTGTGTATGTGAATCTGGAAGATAATCTCTTATTGGGGGAAGGGGCGCAGAATTTTCCACAATGCTTTAAATCAGCTTTTCCCAATCTGGTGTCCCTCAGTTCCTCTGCAGCTCTCAGCTAGCCTTGACTCTAGTCCCCACTGGGTCCTTGAAGCTCAGTTTGGCATCAAGGACACCATATTCAGCAATCCAGGTGGAAAGCAACCAAGGCAGAAAGAGATTTTTCACCTAGCAACACCTGATGTAGTCCAAAGTGGCAGCCTTGGAGAAGACGCAAAAAGCCACGGTTGATGGAAAATATTGCATAGCTCTATCTGATGCTATTGCCAAAAAGAGCTTAGGACAAGGCAACCCCACCATGGGAGGGGGAGCAGCAAACTCTGGGCCCCATCCAAGTTCTTCAGAAACCAATTTGTGACTCTTAGAGCCTTTTTCCTGTGTACTGTAGGCAGATGTGAATTTTCTTTTTCTTCGCATTGGGAAGGAATTTAAAGGGCAAAATGATGCTTTAATTACCAAACTCAGAAAAACAGACTGCCTTGTTCCTTTCAGTGATGTCCCATCACTGATCATGGACTCAAATCAGGGCTCAAAGTAGTCTATAAGCAGAAGGAATTGAAAGTCATGATGATTTAATTCACCAAACTCAGTAAAAACGGCCTGCTGTGTCTAATTTCCTCATTCAATATTTATGTGAAGCCGCTGGGTGAGATCATTCGAGGCTTTGGGGTGGAGTTCCATCAGTACGCTGATGATACTCAGCTGTACATCTCCACCCCGGGTCACCCCAACGATGCCCTTGACGTGATGGCCCGTTGCCTGGAGGCCGTACGGGTCTGGATGGGAAGGAACAGACTCAGACTCAACCCTTCCAAGACC